GAAGCAGCAGACGCGGTTATTTCTGAAGCCAGAAGCAGAATAGCAGGTTTAATTTGATTTAAATCGATTATACATTGCTGGATTCTATTTAGCATATAAGTGGTTTTTGAAGACACTGAGCTGCTCTACTTTTGATTTTAGGGGCATCAGAATAAAGGAGGCATGATATTTTAAATATTTTGAAAAAACAGCATTTCTCTTTTTATCAAATAAATTAAATTAGGAAGTTACACACATACACTTGGGTTCTTTTTCATATTATTTAAATTTTTTCTACATTTTTAACTAATGTTGATATGATATAGGCATTGAAAACCAGTCATTCATTGTTTTTGCTCCAGTTGGCCAATATCCAAATAACAACTGCACAACACTTTGTGATGGTTTTTAGTTGCCAGAAGCAAAATTTAAAAAACCTCAGAGGTTAAACACTGTACTTTAACTTTAGGTTTGATTTAAATGTTTTCTCTCAGAATTTAATGACTGATTACATTATTTATAATGAACAAGAAAAAACTAAAGTGTGCGTCTCTGGGTGTCATTGAGTTCTGGAGATGGATCAGCAAAGTTCCTCATCCAGTCAAAGAGATAACGCCCCTTTTCCACAGGACATTAGGTACAAATAGGTGTGACAGGGATAACTAATGGCTCAATCATGTGTCTTCACACAGAGTTTTCTACTTAACTCTGTAGAAAACTATCAAGTCACAACACATTAAGCCCCTGTCACACCTTGACGATTTAGCCAGCATGTGCCTGACGTCCCAGAATCTTCTGAAACGCTTGCATACGCTGAACTTTCTATTTATTTATTTTTTTTATTTTGGGGCGTAAACATAGCAAATTCATAACAAGTCCAGAACTTGTGTCCAATGGCAACCTAACTTAGGCATAACACACGGCAGCGTAATGCCCATGAAATATCAGAGGCCAGTGTCCTGAGGGGGGCAGCAATGCGCCCCGAGGTGCCAGCCTGCATAAAAAGATTTATTTGATCGCGGTACTAACCTAGCTGCTGGTTACCGCCTGCCAAAAAAAAAAGAATAAAAAAAAAAGAAAGAAAGAAGGTTTGCAGACGCAGCAGATTCAGCGTCATGTCTGCTAGGTTGTTTGTTAGCCGTGGTCGTGAACGCAGGGAGGATTCATCAGACTTACCTTGTCTCTCACCCTGTGATGGAGATTAAGTCTGGAGGGGAACTGACTGTTTCCTCCTGTGAATCCCGCTTTTATACCAAATGCTGCCAATATGGCATTATACAGAAGCTGGAAGTTAGAAAAATGTTTAGCCTTCATCTGAAACACGTCAAATACATTGATTTACGTTGGAGATAAGTTCTTGATAAGTTACGCATAAGTTAATCATAGGTTTTGGATAAGCTAGACGTCATGACTTATGAGTAGCATAACTTGTATCAATGATCAGATAACTTACCTTCCAAACGTCAGGCTAAATAAATCCAGGCTAAATCGTTCAAGGGGTGACAGGGGCTTTAGGCAGCAGTGATGCCAAACTTTATTTTGGGACATATTCTAATGGCTGTTTCTTTCTTTTTCTTTTTAAGATGTGGTTTCTGCTACATGGAGTTGGACTACGTCCCAGCAGGCATCTACAACGTCACCCCCACCACCTTCCTGCCCAAACAGGAAGGGCCCTTTTTCTTGGACTTTGGTAGCACTTCACCCCTTAAGGTCTCCCAGCTCCAGTAAAGATGGAGCGCACAACAACAAACCAAACAGAGAACGTAGGAAGGCGCTAAAGAGAGGAAAGCATCAGGGGATTTTCATGAATTTGCGGTTTGAGAATAAGTGAGCTCTTGAGTCCAGAAAGTGACTGCTGCTTTATTTTTCCTTCCTTCACACAGTACAGCATCTCCAAACCTAAACGGATGGATGGTGGGTATGAAAGTCAAGAATGCAGCATAGTTCATTTAAAAAGGCTTTTTTTTTTTTTGGATAAACTATTATTACTGTTAATAAAGTTAAGGGGCTCCGGTGCTTGGCATGAAAACACAGACGAGGTCAGAAGTTTACGTTCACTAACCATCAGCATGGAAGTCATTCTACTTTAGGGCTTTAAAAAGATGCTAGAAAAGGTTTTTGTTTCTATACAGTGAAATAATTACTAAACATAAACGCAGGGACTTTTTTTCTCACACACACCCAGGCTAATATTCAGAAATTCTATCTTTAATTTTCAGAGAAGCCTCTGGGTCCTGGAATACATCTGGGTGAATATTAAAACTCTCTTCTTGTCATGTTTGATAGATCTCACATTAATTCAGTTAGGTTTGTCAGTAAATACCGTAAACTTTCATCAGGGCTGTATTCAGTAATTTTCCCAGAAGGTTTGTGTTACTTTATTTTATCCGTTTTAGCTGATAATCAAAAGAAAATTAGAGGTAATCCTGCGTCTTCATTAATCCCCTCACATTCCTGAGGTTTTGACTGACTCCTTAGCATTATGCTGCCATCACCATGTTTGACAGTAGGAACGGTCCTCCTAGGCCAGATTTTTCCAGACATACTTCCTATAATTGTGGCTAAATACGTCAGTATTTGTATCGTCTTGACATAAAACCTTTCTAAAAACCAATTTTAATGATGGTACCCTCTAAGCATAAAGGGTTGTTAAACTCAACTCCCTGTAGCCACTCACTCAACATTTTATCTTAAGATCTGAGCTTTGTCGGTTCCTTATTTCTTCTTTAACATCCTGATAAATTTCCTTTAATCTAACAGTGTGGCACAGAAGTTAAAATCTAGACATGATGTCTAACACATCATTAGTTTAGCATTGGACAAATATCCCTCTTTTAATCAGCCAATTTGAGCTCCAACTTCTGTTATCAGAACAATAATCAAACATCATGCGAGAATTTTCTGTTTTCATAAATAGATGGGACAGCTTCACCAAGTGGAACCACCGTTATAACATTCATGGAATGGACTATTGTTTTTAAACATTTGACATATGGAGTAGCTTTAGGTACCTCAGAATTACAAATTAAAGAGTATATAGCATAAAAAACTCACAAAATTGAAGTATTGATAATACAGCACCTTCAATATTTATTGGCGTCCCTGGAAGAGACCTATCAACAACCTTAACTCTTTGTCTCTTAATGATATATTTTTTTTTTGTTAAAATGGCATCACAGCACACTGGAAATTGAAATCCTTTTGTGTGTTTTTTGGATAAACATTCTCTCTGAATATTACTGCTCTGATAGGAGATTAAAGCAAGTTTTAGTGAGAGGTTTTTGGGGTTTTTTGCAGTTCCCTGACTTGTGAAGGTTGAAATACATCAGCCCCCTTAGTTTGACCATTTAGTTTGAATAATATCTTGTACAGAATTTTTTACACCCAAAAACAACAGGAAGTGGGATTTTATCCCCCTACTGTGATTTTACTTCTGTGTCAAATGACGCTACAGCAATAAAAGATGGAGGATTTGTCAAATCTACACGAGGGATGTCTCTAAATGTGGAAGGTGCTGTCAGTTTCTTTAGACAGATATGAAACTGATTACCAATTAATGGATGTGTCCTAACATCATTGTTTGGTTCTCATTTTATAACTTTAGGAGGTTGCTCCAATTTTTGTTCCACAGGAAAAACAAAAACATGTTACCGAGAATCAGTAATCGAATTAGTTGACCTTCACTTAATAGAATAAACTCAAACTTGTTCAAAGTTGGTGACATCATGAAAAGTGTTTTCACTGATTGGCCGCTGGTTGCATGACAGAAAACCTTGTTTTTGGTGGTTTCTAAACTCAGGAGCAGCAAAGGGAATCCAGCATGGCAGCACCTGAATGATGTCCGCTCTTTGTGTTTGTTAGTGTGCTGCTGAATGAATCCTCAGCTCTGATTCAGGCAGGTATCTGTACTGTATGTTTACTTTGACAAACAACTTTGTTTCTTTGCTGAGCTGCACTTTTTTCTTTTTTTTCACTTTTTCAAAACAAACTAAGGTGAAGGAAGTTAAGAAATATATTTTCTATATACAACAGAATCCCCCTGATTTCTGGATGAGTCTCTTATGTACTTGTAAGCAGCCTCTCACTGTGACATCAGTGGTTAATTACTTAACAATAATATAATTGTTGGATCCAAAACAGTGATGGAGTATTAAATGAGTGAATATCTAAGTAGAGCTCAGTCTATTTACAGCACATGTTTAATGTTATTAAACTATGAAGTTTATTGAGTAGAACGATTTGATTAAGGTCAAGTTGTTTCTTCTCAGCTTTGGGTCATTTAGTTTGGTTAAATTTTTTAGGGTTATTCCAGGATGCCCTTTTTGGCCTCAATACATTAAAACATTTTGCTCTATTGCTAATTTAAAAAAAAATACTCCCGAGGAAAATTCAAATTTCAATTTATTTTCCAGTTCAAATAATTGTACGTATTTATTTTTTTTATTGCTTTTGGTGCCATCAACAACCCTAATTTAAAACAAAAGTGTACACATTCATTATTTTAGTTGAATTTAGATGAAGGTTTTTCAACAATGTGAAACTGAGCTTTGTTATGCATGAGGCTCTCCCTTCCACCCAGACTCATCAGGTTTTACAGAATGCTGTGCATCAAATGTTGACTTTGCTTTTCCTCAAACTGCACAATAAACAAAGCTGATTTTTTTTGTGTGTGACTTCAACTACCTGCTGCGTTAGGTTTAAGCTGTTGGGAAGACTTCGAACTATCCACATCCCCCACCCCCACTCCATTACTCCTGCAGTACTACGTGCCACTGTGTGCAGCTTTCTGACCCATTTACTGAAGGCTTCCTGTAAATGAACTGTTGACTGGTATATTAAAGGGCAGAACTTTCTTTTTTTTTTTATTTGTTTCTTTAAATTATCCAGAACGTCCGTCTACCTGTTGATAAATAATTTATTGCCATGAAAACCATATTTTTTCTCTTTATGTTTTGTTTTATTTTATTTTTTTCATTTATATACCAGCCAATGGATTTAAAAACACAGCAGGACAATCTTTTATCAACCTGTTGTATGAATGTTGATGTAATGTTTGCAGAACTTGCACTAAATGTTGGCTAGACTGATGTACTCAAAGTTTAAATACAGGGATATATATATATCACATCGCCTTCTGTGTCCCAAGTTATTTATTACAGATAACATCCATGCATTCATCTACTTTATTACTCAGTTGTTTATCATATTTCTTTCTAAAGATTTATTTTCTTATTAGATCTTGAAATTGTGTTAATGTACCTTTAAATAAGCAAGAGTTATAAAAAACACAAACAATGCAAAAATTTAACTGTTAGCAAATAAATGTATTTCTCAAAATAAGATTGCTCCCTGCTTAATTTAGTAGGTAAGTAAAAAAAACTGCCAATGTAATAAGATTTCTGCACTTAAAAAAGGAAATGCTTCTCTATCTTATTTTCAGTGTAGTATATTTAATTATATTATTTAGGGGCTAAAATACTCTTTAATTTGTAGATCATTTCACATACTTATAGATGTTTGCAGTGAAGGTGTTAACTAAAAATGTTGAGCTTGTAGAGCAAACCTTTAGCAACATTGGATTGATGTAACCTTCCATATCACAGAAGACTTTCATGTTTTACGAAGGTTTAAAGTACTTACAATCAATAAGTGGCAGTAAGAATTTCTCATGTGCAACTCTAAAGATCTAACACTTTTCAGTAAGGTTGAGGTCATTCTGTTGCAGATTCTTTGCTTTATTTGGGATCATTCACATGTTGCATAACCCTTCTTTGACCAAGTTTATATAAGGTGCAACAGCCACTCAATTGGTTGACTAGATCCCAGCTTTGTTAAGCTGTAATATACCAACATTAGACTAATTTAATTTTGCTCTAGGAACTTTTAACCTGAGGAAATTTGAGGACAGTGGATATCACTGCTGCCTTGCAGCAAGAAGGTTCTGGATTCAATTTCTGGCCCAGGGTCTTTCTGCATGGAGTTTGCATGTTCTCCCCGAGCATGCGTGGGTTCTCTCTGGGTACTCCGGCTTCCTCCCACAGTCCAAAAACATGACTGTTAGGTTAATTGGCTTCTCTAAATTGTCCTTAGGTCTGAGAGTGTGTGAATGGTTGTTTGTCCTGTGTGTCTCTGTGTTGCCCTGCGATGGACTGGCGACCTGTCCAGGGTGTACCCCGCCTCTCGCCCATTGACTGCTGGAGATAGGGCACTAGCACCCCTGCAACCCCACTCTGGACAAGCGTGTCAGATAATGGATGGATGGGTGATATTACTGCTGCCTTACAGTAAGAAGATTGCGGGTTCAAATTCGATTTCTGATTATTTCTGCATGGAGTTTGCATGTTCTTCCTGTGGATGCGTGCGTTCTCTCCGGGTACTCCATTATCATTCCACAGTCTAAAAACATGACTGTTCGGTTAATTGGCTTCTCTAAATTCTGTATTGCCCTGCGATGGACTGGCAACCTGTCTCACCCATAGGCAGCCCTGCTTGGAATAAAGCGTGTCAGAAATGGATGAATGAAATATGAGAACCATATTAGATTTTTATTTTTTCTTAGCTATGCTGCCACTTATTTCTCCTTGCAACATATTTGAGGCTATACTCTGGTGTGTTGGGAAGGAGCAGTGTTACTAATTTAGAACCAACGTTTTTAAGCATCTTGTAATAGCGGTTAGCCCAGCTAGCATCATTAACCAGCTAAGTCTGTATTAAGTAGAAAAAGTAGACCTTTCCCTAAACACCAGTATTTCAGTATTACTTCCAACATTTTCTAATCCAGTATATTCCTTAACGACTGAGAAATGATCCAGCCTTGATAAGACATAACAGAACAATAAGTTCCACCTTACTAAACAGACCCCATATTGCTGCACATGTTGCAGAGATGCTTTCATTTTAAATTGACAGATCCTTTGCTTCCTTTAGACCAGGGGTCACCAAAGTGGTGTCCGCGTGCACCAAGGGACCCTCAAGGACCATATAGGGTGTCCTCTGAAAACAGCACAAAGTATGAGATTTT